CTCCGCACTAGGCACAGGAAAGTGGCCGTCTAGGGCAGGAGAGCTGCCAGCCTGGCCACCCAGGAGCAGGTGTGCATGAAAATCAAGGGGGTCCACTGAGACCCCCGACCCTGAGCCCTGAGCTTACAATGGCCGTCCTGGGTCAGACCAAAGGTCCATCTAGCCCAGTAGCCTGTCTGCCGACAGCGGCCAACCCTATGGACCCTGGAGGGGATGGACCGAAGACAGTGACCAAGCCATTTGTCTCGTGCCATCCCTCTCCAGCCTTCCACAAACTTTGGGCAGGGACACCACTCCTACCCCCTGGCTAAGACTACTCCATGGACCCAACCTCCATGACTTGATCTCACTTCCCTTTAAACTCTGTTCTAGTTGTAGCCTTCACAGCCTCCTGCAGCAAGGAGTTCCGCAGGTTAACTATTTGCTTTGTCAAGAACAACTTTCTCTTACTAGTTTCAAGCCTGCTACCCATTCCTTTCCTTTGGTGTCCTCTAGTCCTTCTTTATGGGAACTCAGGAAGAACTTTTCTGAATGCACCCTCTCCACCCAACCCCTGCTTTTAGAGACCTCTATCCTGTCCCCTCTCCGTCTCCTCTTTTCTAAGCTGAACAGTCCCAGTCTCTGTAGCCTCTCTTGATCTGGGACCTGTTCCCAACCCCTGATCATGTTAGTTGCCCTCCCCTCTCCCAGCCTTTCTCTTCCCTTCTCCCACCTCCTTTTCCCAGTCTCCCCCAGTTTTGTTCAATAAAGACAGAGTCAATTTTGGAAGACACGTTATCTTTATTTTGTACATCAATAAGAAGGGGGGCTAGGGAAGGGTAAGTGGAAGGAGGTGAGGGAGGAATGGGGTACGAGCCCCCGATGGGGAGGACTGGGCTGGCTCTGCGGGCTTCTGGGGGTGGAAGCTCTCCTGCAGCCCCCCAATTGCCCCCTCTCCCCAGATGGCAGCCTGCAGCAAGTGCAGCCGATCTGATGGCCGAGTGTGCCCAGTGTGGGCACTCAGGGCACTCCAAGCCAGGACTGCTTTGCAAGCGGGGCACCCCTGAGAACTGTCTGTCTGGGGTGGGGGTCGGGACCCTTTAAGCACAGCCCTCGGCTAGCCTGAGACAGCATCTCCACGCTCTAAGTCCTCCTCTGATGCCCTGCCGGCACTGCTTCCGGCCATCCTTAACCCCGGTTCAGGGTCCACTTAATGTGGACATGCTAGTTCGAATTAGCAAAACGCTAATTCAAACTAGTTTTTTAGTGTAGATCAATTGGCTCGAATTAGCTTAGTTCGAATTAACTAATTCGAACTAAGTTAGTTTGAATTAACATTGTAGTGTAGACATACCGTGGCTGGGGAGTGTAGGGGGCAGATGAATCTGGACCTGCCTCACATGGGGATCATGCTCCCCGCCCCAGCTGTGCCCACTGGACCTGCAGCAGCCAGCGAGAGGTGCATTTCATCTGTCCCTGAGCTGCTGCAGTGAGAGATGGCTGGGGATGTCCTTTCTCTCTAATGCAACCTGATACTGAACTCTTCAATCCACAACCACGCCCCAGAGCAATGATTGAAATGAAGCAGGAGCCTTTTCATTTTATTTTCCAAAAACCAAAAATTATTTGAGTTAAGAACCTCAGTCACGCCAGGTAAATCCTCTAGTACATTTGTAACTCCCAAAACATGGGTGATAGAAACATCTCAGCGAGATTTTCTTACTTGGTTGTCATAACATTTTCACAGCTATCTGGCTCACCAAATTCCTTGAACATTTATAATATTGGTACAAATTATATTACAAACCATCCTCCCTATTCCACACAGCATCACACCCTGTGTTATTTCTAGTGTACAGCAGTGAGCCATACTAAGTGTGTTTTCTGTCTGCTAGGCCCAGGTCTCTCTGGGGCACTGCGGCTGCTGAGTGGAGAGAGCCGGTGCGACGGCAGAGTGGAGATTTCCCTCCATGATGTGTGGCACAGGGTGCTGGATGACCAGTGGGACATGAACGATGCCAGCGTGGTCTGCAGGCAGCTCCAGTGCGGAGCAGCTGAGAGAGCTTATAACCCCCCTTCGTCTGAGCGAGGGATGGGCCCCGTGGGGCTGAAATGGGTCCAGTGTGCAGGGAACGAGACTCGTCTGACCAGCTGTGACAACTCCCAGTCTGAGCCGGCCCAGGCAGGAATTGCCGAGGACGTCGGTGTCGTTTGCTCGGGTGAGTCGTTTCCTGATCTCACACACGTGCTCTGGGCAGCAGGGCGACAAGCACTAACCGCTGGGATCTGTCCCGCAGGGAGCAGGCGGATCAGGCTGGCGAATGGGCCGGGTCGCTGTGCCGGGAGAGTGGAGATTTATTACAATGGCACCTGGGGGACAGTCTGTGA